AGCTAGGGGCTGGGCGGCCGGGGGGCGCCAGGGGGGGCGGGGGGGGCCTCTCAGGTGGTCTTCTCCCCGGGCTGCGGGCAGTCCAGCCAGTACTGGGCGATGGAGCGCGGGTAGCGGGGCTGCACCAGGTCCACGCGCTTGGTACGCAGGTTGACGCGGTAGTACTTGTCTGGGAGGAGGGGGTGAGGACTGCCGGGACTGCCCGCGGGGCAGAGCTGCGGGGAGCTGCCAGCCCTCGCTGCCAGCCCCGGGCACCTTCCCACCGCGTCCTGGAGCTCGGGGACATCGCAGAGCGAGAGGAGACCTCCCCCTGCCCCGTCAGCCCCCGGACCCGCAGCTCTTCCGGATCCTGCCACCCCAGACTCACCTCCTACAAAGAAGTAGACGCTCTGGAGGGTCTCGCACTGGGAGCCCGACAGCCAGTCGCTTTCGATGCCCGCAGAGTCAGAGTCATTTTGCAGCCAGCTCCAGAAACCCAAATTCAGTGACCGGTGGCTCTTGTACCTCTTGCGCTGGCGGCGAGACTTCCTCCTCCGAGGCCGCTGGGAGGCCACGTAGATCCTGCCGGCCATGGCAGCGTCCAGCCGGCTGGGCACCCCCCGCCAGTCTTTGCTGATGTAGCGCGGGCTGCTCGCCCCGGCTGGCAAAGAGGCAGAGGACGAGTTAGAGGGGCAGTGATGTATGGGGGTGAGCAGAGCCCAGCCCCACAGACAGCCCCCAGCACCTGCTCCGAGGCCCGGGGGGATGCTCCAAAGGGTCCCAGCCTGGATGGGATGCGTGACGGGGACACGGGCCAGGCAGAGCTGGGAGCAGCCCCTCACCCCCACCTTGGCCGGGATCAGCCCTGTGCTGCTGAGCCCCCCTCTCCCCCTCTCCATCTTTCATTTCTCTTGCCCAGGGCTGGGGTTCTCCTACGGCATCTCCAGCTCCAGTGGGAATAAACAGTCCCCAGCAGTGACGCTGTGGTGCGAGGTGACGGGCTTGGTAGTGCGGGGCATAAAGGCTGCAGAGGGTGGGATTTGGGATGCTGTGGGAGATGCAGCCATAGCCTGGGGGTTCCTGTGCACAGCCCGGGCTCCTGCCCGCCATGACCGCTCCTACAAC